GCAGCGCCGGCCCAGGGCTCAGAGGCGGTGGGGGTCTCCTGGCAGCGCCGGCCCAGGGCTCAGAGGCGGTGGAGTCTCCTGGCAGCGCCGGCCCAGGGCTCAGAGGCGGTGGGGTCTCCTGGCAGCGCTGGCCCAGGGCTGAGGCGGTGGGGTCTCCTGGCAGCTCTGGCCCAGGGCTCAGAGGCGGTGGGGTCTCCTGGCAGCGCCGGCCCAGGGCTCAGAGGCGGTGGGGTCTCCTGGCAGCGCTGGCCCAGGGCTCAGAGGCGGTGGGGTCTCCTGGCAGCGCCGGGGCTGCCTCCTCCCCGGCTCCCCGCCCACCCGCCACGTTTGCGCGTCTCTCCCCAGCTGGACGCGGAGGAGGCGGAGCCGATCTTCGACGAGCGGGAAGGGGTGGACGAGTACAACGAGATGCCGATGCCCGTGTGAGGGGTGCCAGCGAGTGACCCTGTGCAGGGCTGCGGGGCACAGGCAGGCCCCCGGCTGCTGCGCCAGGAGCTGCAGCAGCATCGCCCGGACCTGCGCCATCTCCAGCACCGTGGCCGCTTGGACTGTGCCCAGCACTCCCCCAGTGCCTGTGCCACGGTAGCCATGAGACGCTCACGTCTCACCCCACGGCCCGGGCTGCAGCGCCCTGCCCTGCGGGGGGGCAGGGAGTGGGGCCCAGGGGCTGGCGCGGGAGCAACTGGGCCGTGCCGCCTGCCCCCAGCAACTGCCGTCCGAACTGTATCGTGTGCTGGAACCTGCTCCCGCCACATCCTGTGTGCCCCCGGCGGGGTGGGGGGCTGCACGAACGGACCTCCCTGCTCCAGCCCTGCCCCACCAGCCCCGGGCCCCACCCAGACAATCAGGTGTTTACTAAATTCCATGGGGTTTTATTTAAGAGAATAATTTAACTGTCAATAAACAGCTTTCTAAAGAACGTGGGGGGGCCTGGCTTGGGGGGCTGCAGGGGGTATAATGGCTGGGCGGGCGGCTCACACAACGGGCCTGGAGCGAGCCGGGCTGGTACCAGCAGCTGCTGCTCAGGTCGGTGTCGCCCCTGCACCATTTAACTGTCCCGGGGCTGGGCATGGCTGTGGTTGGACAGGAAGCAGCCCAGTGCCCCCCCCCGCTAGGCTGGGATGGGGCAACACCCCTGAGTACCCGGGGTGTGTGTGTGATGGGGCAGAGTTGTGTTGTGTTCCCGTTCCTGCCCTGCTGCAGGTCTGGCAGGACACAGGCTGTTGCTCCCAGTGCGAGTGGGGCTGGGGAAGCTGCATCTCCCCGTCAGGGGTCACTCGCTATGGCCAGACTATGCCACACCCTGCCCCCCCCCGGCCATGGGCCTAGAGCCAGGCTGGCTCAGAGCTGGCAGGGCCACTCCCCTGGTAGAGTGCAGCAGGCAATACCCCCCCCCCCCCAAGGCAGCCGCTCTCCGGGCCCCTGCACGGGGGCTATGGGGCACAAACCGGCCCTCACTAAACAGGACAGGACAGCACAGCTTTTTCTCCATTTTTATTGTAAACTTTGTCCCCACCACCCCAGTGGCACCTTGGTCTAGGCCTGGGGGCAAACAGCCCCACAGCTCCAGGGCCCCCCTGCCACTGTGCTTCCAGCCACCCCACGCCCTGTGCAGCCCATGGGGGAGAGGCAGTCCCAGCGGGCAGCAGGTGCTGAAGGCAGCTCAGGGAGCCCTGCCCCCCCCCAGCTCTGAGGACAAACAGGCCAGTGCTCAGCCCCCATGCCCCCCCCCCCCTTTGGCAGACAGGAGCCTTGTGGGTGGAGGGGCAGGCCCAGCATGCACTGCTCCCCCTTGGGGCGCTGGCCCAGCCCTTTACACCTGACACCCACCCCCATTGCTGCACCAGCCCGACCCCCGACCCCTCAGCAAATGCCAATAAATAACAGCCCCACGCTACGCCCGCCCGCTACCGCCAGCCTACAGCCCCTGGGCCGGGGGCTGCCCTGCCCTCAGCCCCCAGGGGAGGAAGGGGGGGCCCCCGGAAGCAGGGTCCTCGGCCCGCGCCGTGTCCAGCGTCACATGGCTCCGCCGCAGGAGGAGGTGGGTCTCTCGCCGTCACTGCGCCCCGGGGGCAGCGGCTGCTTTCAAAAGCGGAGCTCCCGCAGCTTCTGCCGCAGATAGTGCTTGGCCTCCTCCACGCCGCTCACCTTCTCCAGCTCCATGTAGGGCAGCTGCACACAGGAGAGGAGGGTCACTTAGCACCAGCGCCAGCCTGGGGCAGCGTCCTCGGGCAGGGGCCTTGCCCCCGCGGGCACAAGGGCCTGGCTGGCGCAGGAGGGTAGGGATAGAACATGGGTCTTGGGCACAAGCGGAGCCCAGCTCCCCACCCCACCCCTGTCCCAGGGAAGCGGCTCCAGCCCCCCCTCAGGCTGCTCTTCTCCCCCCAAAAGCATAGGTCAGGTGTTGGGGTTCGTGGGGGGTGCTGCTGGCCTGTGCAATACAGGTCAGACTAAGGTGCGCTAATGGCCCCTCCATGGAGCTACGCATTCACCTAGAGGCTGGCTGCAGGTGCCCACCGCTGGCCTGGCCTGGCCCCCTCCCCACTTCCTTCCCTGACCGTAACGGGCTCCTGGAGACCTTGGCTACACAAATCGCTTCAAAATGCAGGTAACTCCTGCACCAGAGCAGAATCCATAGGCAGCAGAGACGGGCCCCCCCTCCACACTGCACCTGCCTGGCCTGATTCTCCCCCTGCCCCCAAGGCCATAGGGGGCACAGCGGCCACACCTGTCCCTCACTGGATCTACAGACACAAGGTCACTGCGCCTCCATCTGCCTACAAGCTCTGTCACTCGGCGTCACGGCTGTGCCGCAGGACCTCACCCTGGGGCGAGGCTGGCAGCTTCCAGACCAATGGGCCGGGGCAGGCACCCTCACGGCCATTAGCTAAACGCGGATTGCAGAACGGCTCTCCCAACTGCTGTCCCATCCCGCTGCCAGGTCCACGGCGGAGGGTTTGGTAAAGGGCTGGGCTGAGCTCTGTGACAGGCCAGTCCTCAGGACACTGAAGTTACCGAGCCAGCCGCTGAGAGGGCCGCAGTAGTTGAGGGAAAGGGCGTAAGTACGAGGTGCCAGACGCGTACAGCCAGCTGGCTACTTGCTAATCTCTGGGAAGAGACGGCCTGGCACTTACAGGCTAGTGAGCCTCACGTCATTTCATAGCTGAAAGTACAGCAAAGAACAATGATCAGACGCGCAGATGAACGCGATACGCTGGAGCTGAGTCAACGCAGCTTTTGTACAGGGAAATCGCGCCTCACCACTCTACTAGAATTCTTTGAGGGGGTCAAACAAACATGTGAACAAGGGGGATCCAGTGGATATAACGTACTTGGACTGTCTGAAAGCCTTTGACAAGGTCCCTCGCCAAAGGCTCTTAAGCACAGTAAGCTGTCATGGGATAAGAGGGAAGGTTCTCTCATGGATTGGTAACTGGTTAAAAGACAGGAAACAAAGGGTAGGAATAAACTGTCAGTTTTCAGAATGGAGAGAGGTAAATAGTGGTGTCCCCCAGGGGTCTGTACTGGGACCAGGGCTGTTCAACATATTCATAAATGATCTGGAAAAAGGGGTAAACAGTGAGGTGGCAAAGTTTGCAGATGATACAAAATTACTCAAGATAATTCAGTCCAAAGCAGACTGCGAAGAGCTAAAAAAGGATCTCACAAAACTGGGTGACTGGGCAGCAAAATGGCAGATGAAATTCAGTGTTGATAAATGCAAAGTAATGCACATTGGAAAAGATGATCCCAACTATACCTATAAAATGATGGGGTCTAAATTGTCTGTTACCACTCAAGAAAGAGATCTTGGAGTCACTGTGGATAGTTCTCTGAAAACATCCACTCCATGTGCAGCAGTCAAAAAAGCAAACAGAATGCTGGGAACCATTAGGACAGGGACAGATAAAGACAGAAAGTATCACATTGCCTCTATCTAAATCCATTATACACCCACATCTCGAATACAGCGGGCAGGTCAGCTCACCCCCATCTCAAAAATAAGGTATTAGAAGTAGAAAAGGAACATAGAAGGGTAACAAAAATGATTAGGGATTTGGAAAAGCTTCCATATGAGGAGAGACTAATAAGACTGGGACTTTTCAGCTTGGAAAAGAGACAACTAAGGGGGGATATGATAGAGGTCTATAAAATCATGACTGGTGTGGAGAAAGTAAATAAGGAAGTATTATTTACTCCTTCTCAGAAGACAAGAACCAGGGGTCATCCAATGAAATTAATAAGCAGCAGGTTTAAAACAAACACAAGGAAGTATTTCTTCACCCAACGCACAGTCAACCTGTGGAACTCATTGCCAGGGGATGCTGTGAAGGCCAAAAGTATAACTGGGTTAAAAAAAGAATTAGATAAGTTGTGTGCAGATAGGTCCATCAGTGGCAATTAGCCAGGATGGGCAGAGATGCAACCCCATGTTCTGGGTGTCCCTAAACATCTGCCTGCCAGGAGCTGGGACTGGACGACGGGACAGATCACTTGATAATTATCTTGTTCTGTTCATTCCCTCTGGGGCACCTGGCCCTGGCCCCGTCGGAAGCTGGGATACTGGGCTAGATGGACCCTTGGTTTGACCAGTGTGACATGCTGCGTGCAGCTTGGTTTCGCCCAAGTTTCACTGTAGTTCACGGAGGTGAAGGGTTTGGTTTAAGTGAAAATCAGATGCCACCTTGGAGAGGAATTTAAGGGGGGGTGGGATGGCTCAGCCTCACCTTACCCCCAGGGACAACACTGTAAGGAGGAGGGAATTTGCCACATTGGCTTAAACCTTGCTAACTCTCTGGGCTGGAGCAATAGCCATGAGCTGGAGAGCACATGGACCAGGGGATACAGCCCCTAAGAACTACAGGCCAGGGAGGTTCCTGACTGAGGAGACAGACCTTGGAGAAACTTCCAAACAGTGGGACGAGAGAACATGGCATCTGAACAAGCGAATATTTGGCTGCTGAGGCAGCAGCTGCCTGAACCCAACAGGCCGTTCTCTGGCCTCCGGCTCCTGTTCTCTAGACTCGGGAACAAAAGATGACAGAGGCTGGCTGTAAAGCGGATGGACGACTCTCTTCCCCTCGAAGCTGCAGCCTGGGCTGGGGATTATGGACTATCAGGGTTGGAAAGGACCTCAGGAGGTATCTAGTCCCACCCCCTGCTCAAAGCAGGACCAATTCCCAACTAAATCATCCCAGCCAGGGCTTTGTCAAGCCTGACCTTAAAAACCTCTAAAGAGATTCCACCACCTCCCTCCCTAGCTCCTTCGGGGCTCTTGGATGTACTGGTGGATTTCTGTTGGGCTCAAGGAGCCTCTGGCCACTGCCCGCTAGCCCGGTTCATTTAATCTTGGTCTTACGGATTCCCTTTTGTTCAGCAGCTCGTATATGTTCTGAGTGTCTCTTCCTGTTTGTTTCACTAGGATCCATGCCACCTGCGGGGATTTCACTTCCTTTGCTTCTGACCTGAGAGCCTATTTGACCATCTGCCTTGTATTTCAATCTCTTTCTGAAATGTAGTGTCACTGTCTTGGAATATCAGGGTTGGAAGGGACCTCAGGAGATCATCTAGTCCAACCCCCTGCTCAAAGCAGGACCAATCCCCAACTAAATCATCCCAGCCAGGGCTTTGTCAAGCCGGGCCTTAAAAACCTCTATGGAAGGAGATTCCACCACCTCCCTGGGTAACCC